CCCCCACCGCATCGTCTCCCTCACCTCCATCGCCTCCCTTTGTCCGATGAAGGACGCTCGTGGCCCTGTCGCCGCTGCAGCCGGAGATCTATTGGAGATGCAGGGCGCGGTGACCGCGGCAGATGCAGTGCAGGACGTTGCCGGCATCCAGGGCGGTGCGGGAAATGCCGGCTCCGCCTCCGGCCATGCCGGAGCTGGAAGTCACAGCATCGAGTGGCGCAGTGCATCCAGGTGCGCAGGCTAGCGACGAGCTGGCGGTCGAGGAGCTACGTCTATTTCATTGTTACTTCTAATATTTCGAATGTAGGGTTAGTTGCATTGGTCTGATTGTGATTCGTAGGGTAGTACGGATGGTTAGATTAGTAGGTTTGAGAGATGGAGTTTTCTGTATTAGGTTTTCTGCATTAGGTTTTTTGTATTACATTGGCGCAAAGATGCTAAGAGATGTTAATGAGAGATAGGGATCTTTGTGCTTGAATGCTACAGAGATATATGCTTACTATATTTGTAGTTGAATGCTATAGAGATCTATGCTTGTTAGATTTGTGATTCAATGCTACAAAGATAGGGTTTTGTATGTCATATGCCCAAAACGAATGCATTAATTTTGATGTACCTATCAATTGTTTAAGATGTTACTTGATTCTTTTATAGTATATCAATTTGTTGTTTAGGTAACTACTGCAATTTAAGATGTTACTTGGAGATCTATGCATTTATAGTTTAAGATGTACCTATCTAACTACTGCAATATGTGAATATAGTTTGGAGCTTTGCTTCATTATCCCAAATAAAAATGTTTAGGTAGCTTTAAATTGTTCTTTTCTGTAGGTTTCCTGTAATTACAAAGTTGTCCACCATATGTAGTTATATTAGCATTGTTGTGAAACCTGTGCACATGCCTATGGATCATATTATGGATAATATGATCAATGTGACATTTGTGTATAGTTAAATTTTCAGTTGGTTTCCGTAATTACTAGTAATGGATGTACTTTTATATTGCAGGAGGAGGATCCTGTGGGAAAGAACTGGAAGCTGGCCGTGACTGGGTTCAAGGACCAGTATGACCCAGACTTTGTTGACGACGAAGTCTATGAGGCAATCCGTAGTTGAAATTTTGTTTGTTCATTTAGTTCCTTTGACATGTTTTACTATATGAATGCATAATGTATTAATGTAATTCATTTTTGTGTGCAGTATAACTCTGGAGATGATGTGGATGACGGGAACGTCGAGTCCTTCATAGTGAAGGAAGTCGAGAAGATCAAGGACCAGGGAACAACAAACTACTACAAGAGGGAGAAGTACCGGTGCCCCTACTGTACCAAGCTAAAGCCCAGGGGATGGGCTCTTTGAGCACCTTCTGTCGCATGCACGTGATGCATTGAAGAGTGGGGAGGACTACAAGATCAGGGCGCATCATGCTACCCTCTTGAAGGCTCTACTTCCCATGTAGTAGCCCTACATGATGTTGACCATCAGAAGCTGGAAGTGCTACTCATCATCACAATATGTGATGATGTTTTACTTTTGTTAAACTGCATGTGGTTGTGAACTGTTGGAAACTTGGTCTACTAATGCAGTATGTATATTACTGTAATGCAGTATGTCTCTGAACTGGATGTCTTGTTTAGATGTACTAGATGGTATATATCATATTAATCTAGAATGCTATCTATATTTGTGTGTCATGGAATTTATTTGTGGTGTATGCTACCTTCTGTATAGATTATACAATGAAGCACCATTTTAAGAAAATTGTGAATCTTGGAGTGAAAAAAGGAGTGTACAAAATGACTGTAGCAAATAAGTGAAAAAATGATGGTTAAAAAGAATTTTAAACGAGTGTAGCAAATGTATGGAAGAAATAAAAAAGAAATATTATAGAAGTGTAAGAAACTAGTTGTTAAATTGCAAAAAAAACATTTGGAATAAGAAGTAATGTCTTTTTGTATGAAATGAGTGAAAGTGTGAAAAATAAAAAGGGAAAAATGTGAAATATAACCAACATTTGAATTCATAAGTAATGGATTTTTGTATGAAATGGATTTTTTTCATACATTTTTTTAATTTTAAAACTATAATAATTAATAAAAGGGAAAATGTGAAAAATAAAAAAGGAAAAAGAAATATGCATAGAAGATGGGCCATGCCAACCATCTACATGCACGTGCGGTCCACTAGGCATGTGAGGCTAGCGTGGGACTACCCAACAAAATTAGGTCCAAGGCTGAGCTGCACCAGGCAGAGCTGACGGGTGGTGGGAGTTTAATCTCACCTCACCAAGCGAGGGGCGTGCACACCAGCTTATATATGCAGGTGAGAGAGACCGGGCATGAGCCTCTCTCAACCATACATCAAATCGTTGATCCAGTCACCTCAATGCCCTGTGGGGCCTACTAGCATGAAATATTCATGCTCTATGGGCCCGCATCCTGGCCCATATGTTGGGTTTCTAGTCATATGTAGGTCGTGCAGTGTGAAAAATCTTGTGTTAGTAGGTGGTTTTTTTTGCATATGGCAGATGTTTATTTTTGGACCATCTCCAAATCACCCCAAGATGTTTTTACATGGTCACATACATGACTGTGAAAGAAATTTGGACAATAATGAAGTTTGCATTGTCCCATTAAGGTAAAGTCCGAGGTATGTAACTGAAGTTCACCGAGATAGTATAAATTTAAAAAAATACAAAAAAATGGAAAACCTTCATATTCTGTTTATGTTTATGAAAGAGATCATTCCTACAAAGTTGACGTGATTTGGAGGTGGTGGAAAAAATCACCTTCTTAAAAAAATTGGCTTAAGTGAGACCAAACAGTCCGTCCGTAATGAAGTGATTTTTTCAACCATCACAAAATCACCCCAAATTTGTTGTACGTGCTGCCATACATGTAAAAAACAGAAATATCAGAAATAAAATTAAAAAGTTTGGCGTTTACACTGTGTCCTTATGGTAAATTGTGTTCGAAGGCAAATGAGGTGGCTCATGAC